ATCTCTCATGAGTCTTTTTTCCCTTCTTTCCTTTTTCCAAAATCCAAAATCTATTAAAACTTGTGTTTTTTTCTCAACTCTTTCTTTTATATAGTCGATTTCTTTCTTACTCTCTTGATCAGTACCAAAAAAAACTAACAGGAAAAGGAAGTTACTGTTGTTTTTCTCTTATTTCTGTTTATTTCAAAAAAAGCAAAGTAAAATTGCTAATTACCAAAAAAAAAGAAAAACATAAAAAAAGGAAACTCTATTCTGTTTTGTGATTTTTTTGGTCTGTCTGTCTGTGTGTTTGTTTTGTTTTGTTTTGTGTGAAACTATCTTTGTGCTGTCTGTGCTTGTTTTACTTGATCTTTGGTCATTTTTGTAGATGAACTCTTTGAGCAATAAAAAATAAATTGTTTTATACTTATGGTTGGGTTGGAAAAGATGAACTTTGGTTCTTCTTGGTTCCAACAGTTCTTTCTAATATCTTTTCATCATCAGGATCATATTCTGAAATCACATAAGAACTTACAATGTGGTTTCCACTTTGATAAAAGTTATGTGAGTTTGCTTTAAATAAGTGAAGAACAACTCATGAAGTGAAATCAATCTGCTATGAACTGTCAGTTGGGTTGAAGTTGTACTAACGAATCTTGTTCTGAATCTCATATTTCACGCTGGAAAGATAATTGGAAAATCAAGTAGCAAGAGAGTTGATACCCAGACAAACCAACACCGTGTTCTACCAAACACGTGTTATTTTTTGCCGTATCGGTTCTTCTTCATTCTGACCGTTTGCCCCATTGCCCCATATTTGATGATTCACAACAGATGTTGTTGGGGAACTCCAAAACTCTTGCCTCCACATAGGAATGATGCGCATCACCTTGTTGGGTATGTAGGCTGGAGCAAGATACCCAGATCACATATTATATCTGATTTTATGTAAAAGGCTGAACCTAGACAGTCAAGAACTGAATCTTCTGTAATAGAAAAATTTCAATGAGCATTGAGTACACGATGTTGCAAGAAATGTGTCACCCTCAGAGTTTAAAAACAACTTCATTCAACTCTGGTATCTCAAATTGAGGTTTAATGTGAAGTTTTTTTTAGATTGCAACACCATTTTTGAAACTTGAATGAACAAATAAGCGCACGGTTCTAATTTCCGATTGACCAATTATGATACTCCTGAATTTGTACTAAAAAATCCAAGTTCTTTTGTCTGAATTCACACTTGCATACTTGCTTCCACACGTGGTATAACTGTTTGAATATCTCTTCTAACAAAATAGGTGTAATCCACAAAACTATGTTGCTGCACTTGAATAATATCCCTACACGCAAATCTAAACTCTCGTACACAATCCGCTTAACCTTGCCAAACACCTTCGAAATTTGAGTATCAATATTGTTTTATCACATCTTCCGAATCTCTAGGTGACCTCTTTGTGTTGATGGGATGTTAAACATGCTAAGCCTAAGCCAAGGTGTATGAAAATGATGAAAGCTAATAGTCGAGAAGAGATACTTGTCACCGTAGACATACCGGAGCTCGATCAGTGAGATTAAGTTTTTGGACCTCTTCCTCGACGTGTTCAACCGGAACAGATTCAGTACTACCAGATTTATCAGCCTCATCATCTTCTGATCCAAGTTTCATCATCTCTACTAAATAATTTACACATTGTTCTCGAATTGGAATATGATCAGGTTCAGTTGAATCGGAATTGGAATTGGAATTGATGATCGAACTAGGTCCTGCTCCTTCTACTGCTTCACTCATTGCACTATATCCTCTTCCATTGAGGATCGAAATCTCTTGTGATGTTAATCGAGGACAGATTAATTTAAGGATTTCTAGATGATGATTCATAGCTGCCCAATGTAATGGTGTGTTCTTGGATGGTGGGTTATTGGGTCGAAGAAGTGATTGTTTATCCGTTAAAAGACTTAATAAATATTTCACTACCTCTATATGAAATTCAAAGAAAAAACATCAAAAAAAACGTCAGCTTAAAAGGAATAATGATGAGAATTCAAAGCATGATGAATTGTTTGATTTACTTACCTAGATGACCATTAGCAGTAGCCATATGAAGTCCACTATTTCCATTTTCATCTACATAACACTCTAAAGATGAACTTCCAAACTTGTTAACGAATTCTTGAAGTTCTTCTAAATCTCCATAACGACAACATAAGATCATTTCATCTAATTCTTCATTCGATGGATTACACGACATTTTTTCCCCTTGAATTTCACCAGATAGAGTTTACGTAAGACCTGTTTTGTAAAGTACCGTAGTCCTGATGGTAGTGCTTTCTTGTCTTGATATCGGTTTGTAGATTGGTGGAAAAAGAGGTACAGTGAAAGTTGTTTTGTAAAGTTGTGATGTGCCGGTGTCTTTTTTTTAAAAAAAAATCAAGTGCATATGTCCATGGTTTTGTGACAGGAGCTGTGACATGCGGACAGAGCTGGGGTTCACAACTTGATGACACTTGATGGTCTCCGGACCATGACACCCTTGCCGGTATGTCTCGCAAATAACAAAGTCTCTCGAGATCCCTCGCCAAAGGCCCGAGGTTTGAGCGAGGGGAGGGACTTTGTTAAGTTTGTATGTCTTGACTCTCAAGGCACCGTGTATGCTCAAGGAGTCATTTGCCGTGCCACATAAAAAACCATCTTTGCTTTACTTTGATCTTAACAAGGGTCAAGTAGAAGTTCCACTGAAAAAATGCACTCACTCGAAACCTTTTGATCAAGAAGGAATTATTTGTAGCTCAAATAAGCTCAAATAAGCCCCTCGCGCGTCTGCGTCCGCACCCTAGAAGGAAACACATGTATAAATTCTGATTCTTTTCGTCGGTTTCCTTCCGAGAGGCGACTTTGTTAAGTTTATCCCTGTTGACCACGTCGGTGTACAACCTTTCAAGTTTCAATTGTTCTTCTTGAAATTGCACCAGCCTTCCAATACCTCAGTGATACCGATGTTGCCGCTTTCTATAAGAACTCGGGTCTTGTGAGATATTTTCCTTACCGGCCTCTTGGTCCATACACTCCAAACATCTCAAACTCATCAGATTCTTATTCGTCTCTTTGCGGTACTTAAAATGCTCACAATGTTCCTCAAGATCTCACTTCTATTACTTTCCTTAGGGCTTCATGTTCCAAAGGTTTTGGGAACAGTCTATAAATGTGACGCATACTACACAATAGAAAAAGTAAAGGGACATGAGAAGGGAGGTGAGTACAATCGTTACAGTTTTTCCTTGAAATCATGACTTCAGAATCATCTGCTTCCAGACTGGCTAATCCGAACGACTTTGTGCCATCGATGACATCAACAAAGTTTGCTCAGGTGCACAGGATCCTCACACATATATATGCGAGCTAGACAGTTGCTTTTGGGAGCGTAAGTATTGCACAACACCAAATCGTGACCAACTTTTCAATGTCCCAAATTCATAGTAAAACTGATGAATTGAATCTATCCTATATATCTTATCTTAGATCATCGCTACGGTTGGATAGGTGGTTGCACTCACGATGGTTCGCCAGACAAGACCACAACTCATCAAAAATGTCGTGAATATTCATACAGTAATGCTGGAACTTTTGGTACGTGTTCTTAAATTTTAAACTCATTTGATATCTGATCAAAAAGTAATCTTTATTCACTATCGAACCTATCTTCTTCAAATGTGCAATTTTACTAGCTTGTACCAATCTTTCGGGTCTTCATTATACATGCCCGTATAAGGGCAACGAGGGCAGAAAGATAGGTTAGTAAGAATCCTTTCTTATTTATCATGTAAAAAAATCTATGTATGACTAAAAAACAAATCACATCTCATGTCATTTTTTCTCAGAATGTACCAATTGCCGTGTAAACTAGATCCTCAAAAACCAAAAAATAATCGAATCCTTGGGTATCTAGCATCTTGGAAAAGCGAAAAAGATCTCCGGACTTATCGAGAGTGGGTGAATCTGAAGTTGTTTGAAAGAGATTGAGAATTCATCATCACGAAGAAACCAATGAACAAACTTATTTTGACTTTTCCACTTGGATCAATGATCTGACACACTTTCCCAAAGAGATTTGTATAAAAAGAAACTTGTGATCCTTTTTGATCACAACAAATCGAGCAAAAATGAAACTGTTAGTGAATAACAATAAAATATGTAGTCGTCCTTTGAGCCCAGGAATGAGCACAGAGGCTCTTGTCTTACGTCCCCTGCCATCTATGAATTGGGTGGATGATTGTGTTGTGCTCTTCCTGGTATTCTGCCTCCGTCATAGCATCTGTCTTCTATCACAATCGTACGGGTGCTTTCAAGAGTGGTTTTTGTCTTGATATCGATTCGAGGTTTTAAAAATAATTTTTGGAGCATCCCCAGCCGCGTGCGGTAAACCGTGCCGTACGCAAATTTAGGGCAAAATAAATTTTCACGTAGCTTTGATGATTTCCTTCCATGCGAGCCAAGATCGAACACTCTTCTCCGCCTGTGCCCTCAAATCTACCCCTCGACTCCCATCATTTTGCTAGCTTAACAACAAGCCCACTGTGCCAGGTGATTTTTCTCGGACTCGTCCGCCCCTGGCACAGGGGGCTTGCACATTAAACGACAATCGTTGCGTGACTAATAGCCACCTTTTGGTGGGTGTTTTTTCACTTCGCTTTTACACCACGACCCACAAATGCATTTTCTTCAAAAAAACAGTCAGATGAGCTCTGTCGAGTTATGAAGGAAATGGCCTCTTCAGAATCTCGACAGAGCTCATGATCGTGTTGATTCATTGAGGCTGCTTATTTTGAGATTTGAAATTTCAACCGCTAAGATTGTTATGTGTACCCTTAAAAAGGCTCGAGAGATGGTCAATTGACTCCCTTAAACAAACTTATTACTCGTTTTCCAGCTCAGTTCTTGTGAGCTGGCACTTTTGATTCTCTTTTTTTTCTAATAGAAGTTATGTACAAGATGCTGAACTCATACCAGCCAGTTTCAGAAACAACATCAAAGTAATGTTGAATGAGATAGGATGGGTTGCATCCAAAAGTGACCCAAATTTCGCTTTTTGGGGCTATTGGTCACGCCAGAGATGTCGTTTAATGTGCAAGTCCCTCGTGCCTCGGCTTCGGGTTACCGTGAGCTTTTGCACGATTGGACTTGGGTTAAGTTAGATCATTTTGAGCTACATATAAAATCACATCGCGCAACAAACCAACCTCTCATTCGTCAACAAAGCCATAATTAGCATATCTGTCAAAATATGCTTACAAGACGAGCTGTAGGGAAGCACGGATCGATCAAATTCGATACCCCAAACGCTTCCCGAAGTCTCCGCGCGACCGATCCGTATGGCACGAAGTTGGGGCACGACCCTCACAAAAGAAGGAGCAGAAGTTGTTTTGTGATTTCAGGACCCAGGTATGTCGGATTGTTTCCAAAAAAATGTGCAGCACAACTGCATACGTATGTCATAGTCTTGTGACAGGAACTGTGACATGTTCTCGACTATTCGTAGGTTTCACAAGGTTTCACAACTTGCTGACATTTGGTGGTCCTAAGATCAATGAGGTCATCGAACGTTTCCAGAATCAGAAGATATATACAGGCTCAGCAAAACCAATCCGACGATGATGAAGATAAAGGATAAAGTATTCTAGTTAAATTCGAATTCAAATCAATACTTCCGTATCTATCCAACTCATTCTTGATTCTTTGCAAACTTCAAGTGTTACAGGTGGAGTCTCAGGACTAGGTCGAGCCGTAGTGACTGATTTACTTGCAAACGATGCTTTGGTTTGTATCATGGATCGAGAAGAACTTAAAGGTCGAGAGATAGAACAGACGCACAAAGGAGTCAGTTTCAAAAATCTTTTTGGATTCATCTCCATCATGTTAACTTTCGACAAATACAATCCACTTTCGTCACAGCGAGTTGTGTTTCAAAAGTGTGATGTTCGATCTACAAGTGATATAGAAGAAGCAATCAAGAAATCTACATCAAATTGGCCTGAAAAGAGAATCGGTGGATTGGTTCATTGCGCTGGTGTTGTTATGGCTGGGAAAGTAAGTCGAAACTGAATCCAATCATCATAAAAGACATGACTAGAGACTTACCAGTGATAACTTTTGGGTTTGTATGAATGCTTTATAAAAATGATACACAAAAAGACTGTAAGTTCAACAGGGAAACCTTGGGATTACGAGACATTTCGGACAGTAGTTGATATTAATTTGGTATATATCTGATTCACTTGAAACCCCAACTTTCCAATGTGTATCAGTTGATAAACCTCTCGTATCTTTAGAACGGAACTTTTAACGTTGTCAGATTGATAGCAGCTCATATTGTTAAATCACAACCACTTACCAGTACATCTGATTCTGATGAATCCGAAAAAGGTGTGATGATTTTAACTAGTTCTACAAGTTATCAAGATGGACAAATGGGCCAAGCTGCCTATGCTTCAAGTAAAGGAGGTGTTGCTAGTCTTGTTTTACCTCTGACAAGAGATCTAGCTCAATTTGGTAAATTAATTTGTTTTCGATTTCAATCATAACATTGTTGGAAATGCTCATGTCGATTTGTCTGTGTGCTTGATTGAACTCAAAACCCACAGGTATTCGAGTTAACGCGATTGCTCCTTCTCTATTCGAGACAGCAATGAGTCAAGGAATGTCGTCTAAAGTTCGTAAAAATTTATTAAATGTAGTTGAATTTCCTTCTCGTTTTGGTCAAGCCAAAGATTTTTCAGGTTTAGTACTTGAATGTATACGTAATGAGTATCTAAATGGTACAGGTGGGTATATTTTTAGATTCCTTGATCTTACTTTCCTTTATAAGCTTTGAAGGGTAGGCTTTGACCTGATTTGACTTGTTTTCATTTTGTTAATTGATTCAGTCATCAGATTAGATGGCGGTAGTAGAATGGGTAAGCTTTAAAATAATGTGTGTGATAACCAAATAAAACCATTCGTCCTGTCTCCAAAACAAAAATTATGCTTTGGATAGGTTAGAGTATCAATAAGTTTAATGATTGAGCTGAACTGTAAGGTTCAACCGCAGTGCCACATCAAATCTGTAAATGATATGGAATGAATTACTCTTAATCTTTAAATCCAAGTGTAATAGTCCCTCAGTAGGCATAGCCCCCAAATAGTAATAGGTCAGCTGTAAATTAACCAAAACAAATATTCATAGGAAGATATGCCTCTGACAAGTTCTGATGTGTAGTAATCTTAAGGATCCAAAATATATTCAGGTGTACCATCAAATGGAAAATCTTGTGGAAGATGTGTAGGGATTATGATGATCTTTTTACAAAGAAGCCCTGACACAAATCCTCAAATTTCAAAATCAGTGTGGGGATAGCCTTGTGGATCTTATTTCTTTGCAATCAACCTTTGGACTGAATCACAGAAAACCAGAGAAATAGAGAATGATGATGCACTGTAGGAGGATAGACATTCATAGAAAGTTTTGATCCAAGAATATCCCCCGTGACTTACCCCAAGAAAATACGTGAAAAGACTCGCTGTGATAGGCATGTTGGCGTGTCCTGTGAAGCTCTCAATCGAAAGATATCCGTTGACCAATTGAATATATTGATTTGATTTTACTTTGAGATCAGATTAGCAGTTCAAGAATCAATAATTGCTATAGATTTACTTGAGTATGTAGAATGTGGCGCTGTTGTTTGTTGGAAGAAAGCTCAAATGACTCAGCAAGATATAACACAATGGAGATTACGTGCTTCAACAGGCTAGTAAAATATCTCAAGGTCTACATGAATCCTGTGCGTGAGGCTCTGTGCTATGATTTCTTACCAGATTTATACCGTTCTCAATGATATCTCCACATAGGATTGTTGTATATCCTTGAAAGCATCTGAGATGACAAGCGGCCTTCTTACTTTCCATATCTCCAACAAGTATAACCCACAGATGTATATCACAATTTTTATTGAACATGCATCATCACTATGTATATAGATCACTTCTGAACAAAAACACGCAGGCAAGATAATTGAAAGGAACATTTGACTTGCGTAAAAGTTTGAAGAAGTTTTCATCATAGTTTAATCCTACTTAAAGAGAAATGAAAAAGTATAACAAAAAACACTTCATGGGAGTTGAACGCTTTACATTGCCTCCTTGATCATTTTGGCAGCCAGGGTCGGATTGCAAGCCTCAGCCACGTCACCCTGTCCTTGTTTTGATGCGACTCCAATCAGGAAGGTTGGGAACATTGATTTAGGTTCCAGGACATACTTCGGATCAACGTTCTATATAAAAGAGATATTGTTGACAGATTAGTTGAGTGTTAAGTTACCATCAAATCAAGCATGGAATCTCAACGTACCACGTTATTGGGTAACTGATAATTTTCACAATTCGGGATACCCTCAGCTACGATGCTGAAAATCGTGTCATAGGCTTTGTTCATTTGTGGTAGAGTCATGGGAAGCGGCAAAGGTTGACCTTGATTGCTGTAAGGTAGAATTTTTTTCGGGAGATATTAGAAACATCACAAACATTGAATCAATTGAATACAATCATACATACTCCGTACGACCTCCCATTGGGGCTTGATTGTTATCAAGCGGCTGGACCTGTTTGAAAACGTGGATTGAGTCTGGTTGAGAAAGTCAGGTTGCTTTAGATGAAGATGTGATCAAACTTACTGCGCATGATTTGAATATGGCACATGCTGGGTAACCTTTGGTCTGATCGTACAGTAATGCAATAGCACTATGAGAAATCGGTCAACAAAGAACGTCGATCAGTAAGAAGAGATATCAAACTTGAACACTTTGGAATCAAGATAACGAAGTCTGGTAAGTTTTAAACTGACGTATAGCAGTGGCTCGCATATCCCAATTTTCGATCCTGTTGGTTCACGAAACAGTTCATCGGTGTCTCTGTTTGTTGCCTGGTCATGAGAGCATTGGAGCCTTGCTCATTGCTGTCCTTGTTCTTCCTTTTTACGAGAGAAGTCAAGGAGACTTTGTCAGATGTGGAGGATCGCACCGACAGTTTGTCATGCGAGTTGACTTGACCAAAGATGAGGAGAGTTTGAAGGACGATGAGAAGAGATAACAAGTTCTTCATATTTTGATATGTGAAGTGTTGCAATTAACTAGAGCGCACAGAAGAGAATTCAGAAAGGGTAAATTTTCATTACTAACAAAGAACAATAACTAGACAGTAACAAGAGAATATAAAGCTTACCTAGAGCGCACAGAAGAGATTTCAGAAAGGGTGAAGAGAAGCCCTTCTGTGTGTGACTCTAGGATGCTTATATACACGATGTCTTATGTAGTCAGATGTTTGTAAGTAAGATGGACTAACTTGTTGTCGAGGTACAGTCATTTAAGAAGAGCTTGCCCCAAATTCCCCGCCAATTCGCTTGAGTTTTGCGGGCAATTTGGGGCAAGCTTTTCTTAAATGACTGTACATAAATGAGATATGAATTGTAGGAAGCTGTTTTAAGTGATAGACATGATGTGAGAAATGTCGTAGAACATACAGCGCTTCATGAATTTATCGGTTTTTTTTTTTTTTTTTTGTGTTGTGTCTGTCAAAAGTACAAAAGTACAAAACCCGGGTTAAAACCAGTTTTGTACCAAAATACCGGGCCAATACACCTTTGACAGGTCCGTTCGGACCTGTTAAAGGTTCCCACCTTCCCTCTCTGACTCACTCGCGGTTTGTATTGATCTATGTACAATCAATACCCTTTCAACCACCCTCTTTTCGACCTCTCTCCTTTGACCTCTCTCTTTCCGGAAAGTGATCCGGTAAGAAGAGCTAAACAACCTCCACCAATACCATTGGACTCACCATCGATTCCTTTCGACCTCCCTCTTTCTGGACAGTCAACCAATACTATTGGTTACACCATCGATCTGGTCTGGCCTTTCCAACGGATCCGAGCTCATCCTGTTGACTACGACCACCAACTGTCAAATCCCACCTCTTCTCAATTCACCAAATCAACATCCAAGACTTTTCCCACCACCCGATCATTTCCTATCGGCATTTAAATTTTTAATGTGGGTCATCTCTCTCTATCATGGGATCTATGGTGTCTATTTCACAAACCATTACGTAAACTGATTCATTCCATGCGCTTTGGTAGAAAAACTTCCCATCACGAGTCAGCAGCTTTTGAAATCGGAACCAATCTTTCTTGTATTTCAAGTTTTTTTGGTAGAAAACCTTTCAATCACGGCTCAACAAGCTAACGAACCAATCTTGTATTTCATGTTTTTTGGCAGAAAATCTTCGAATCTCAGCTCAACAAGCTTCCTTTGGTTCAAATCGGAACCGATCTTGACATTCAAGTCTTTTTTGGTACCAAAAAAAACATCCATCTTACGCGATGAGGGTCCCCCAGGACTTTCAACTCAGCAATAAAAGGAGCCTCCTCAACCACCATATTCCTCTTTCGATCTCAACCAACTTCATCATATCATCGAATCAGGTTACCATCCAATATCCAAAAGTCTTATTAAACCATCTAAAAACCTTCTGTTCTTCTTACAAAGTCCAGATCTTTGTGTGTGATTTTTTCTTTCACTTGTTCATCCTGTTTTTTTTTCTGATATCTTCTCTTGTGTTTATTCCCTAGAACATGTCTATCAAAAACGAAACTACCCCCATGACCTCTGTCAACACCACCCAGCAATCAACTGCGATCATCACTGTAAACGATGCCATTGCGGACTTTGAAGCAAATGTCAGACCTGGCCGTGAGTTTATTTTTTTCTTTTCTTTGTCTCTCTCAATTCCTTTCAACATAGCCATGCTGATTTATTACGACTTCAGTCCTAGAGCCATCTAACCACCACTTGACCGGTGATGACGCCCCCGCTTGTCATCCCCAACACGATCCCTTGCACCGTGTTGGCACCACCCAACGCGAGCAGTTCAATCGCAACAATGAGGCGACTGTTGTGGTTCTCTTCAAGATCTATACCAACGATGAGGCGCCTGTCGATATGCCCGCTCCCAAGCCTACCAAACGCACCGCCTCTTCCAAAGCCAATTCCAGTAGTGTCGCCACCGTCAACTGTATTGACTCCAAGATTTTCAATGATGAAAACAACTTGGAGTTGAAAACTTGTTTGTTTGGAAAGTCCTTCAAACAATTCAAAGAGATGTGTGGTAATGTATGTGACGGTTATTTGGCTGGTATGAAGAACATGGTTCTTTCCTCGGATATGGCCTCAACCTTCACTTGGAAAGCAACAGTTGGTCGGCAGAAGTTCATTTTGACCAACCACCACAAGTACTTTGAATTTGTAGCGGCCTTATCAAAATCGAACCAGCACAAGGGGGCCATCTTAATCCACAGCGAGTCTGCTAAGGTACTTGCTAAAAAAGCGGCACAGGTGTGTTTTTTTTTCTTCCTCTTTTAAGTTTATTCTTTATCTTTTGCTGATGATTTTCGGTATTTAGGCTAAGGCTGCTAAGCAGCTCATTGCTTCTTCCAACGGCCCTCCCACTGTTGATGCAAAGGTGGCCAATTTAACCCAACGTTTGGGGGTAAGTGTTATTCTTCTTTTCTCCTGCCATTCCCCTCTATCGAATTCAATCTAATCAAACTCATGAAATCTTTTTTTAGGATGCCCAAAAGGTTATTAAGTTGCACAAGTTGACTGCCGAATTGTTTCATTTTTATGCTGAAGGCGCCGGTGGCGATGGAACTATACTAACGGCCCCTTGGGACCCCAACTATCAGTACCGATTCACCTTGAGAGATGTGTTCCTTTGGGCACAGGAAATTGTAAGTAATTTTTCTTTATTATCTTGATTATAGGCCAGTTATATTTAATACTTCTTTATGATCTGTTTGACATGGCAGCTCGCAGGAAAAGCTACTAAGCATATATGCCCCAGTTCTTCTGCCTATCGAGCTGAAATGGCTAAAACTCGAGTGTTTCATAAAGGAACCAAGGTCCAAGATCGAGTTCAACTTCGATATCCTCATGGTAGTCAAGGTACTCAAGGTCGAAGTATCTTTGTAGGAGGTAGTGGCTCCAAAGCTACCTCACCGGCCATTCAACCTCCCCCTTCTCCCCAAGAGAAACGAACTACCCCTTTGGATGACGATGAAGAGGACACCCCCTTAGCCTTTTACAATCGTAAATTGAAAAAGGTCAAGGTGGAAAAGTTTGGTGGGTCTTTGTTTTTGTTCGATATTTGTTCTCTTTGATTCCAACTTGTCAGAGCCCTGATCCGACCTTATCCTCAACATGTTTACAGAAACTGACCCCAACTTTTGGGTTCCTGATCCTTCCGAGGAAGATGCTGTGCTATCTTCCGAACTCGAGATTTTAGAAAAGCACGAGTATGAGCTTGACAAATTCCTGATCAATTGTGGCCTTTCTTCTGGCGCCATCCGTGCCATCCGTAAGATTTTGAAGAAGGCCAAGATCGAAAGTTGGTCTGATCTTGTTCCTTGCTCCCAAATGACCGAATCGACCTTGACTACCTTTGGTATCAACCAAGAGGATGCGGCCATCATCTTAGCAAAATCTCAAGAGTGGAACGAAGAAGCTCTTGGTGAGTGTCATCCACCGTTCAGCCATAGGTGCAGCACTTGACTAACTTCTAATGTGTTAGGTTCTCAATAGATCAAATTGATTATACGTCAACTTCTCTCAGTCAATCAACTGAGATGTTTGAAGCTAGCCAAAATTATATACATAAAGTGGAAGCAGGATTATTTTCATCTTGAACTCTATACAATTTTGTGTGCGAAATTTTGTAAAATTTGTACTTAGTCCTCATTTCTTGGGACAAAGTCAATGAAAGCTGCTTATTTTGTTTTGAAGTGCAACTTCTGAGAGTGAGATGAAGCCTGAACGTCCCAAACCAAATGATGAAAACTCCAATTTTTGGTTTTTGATCTTTTACAAGAAAAGATCAATATGAATCAAACCATGATTCTTTTGACAAATTGCCTGGTAAAAAAAATGGTCAAGTGACAAAACTTGACTGATCTTTGAATTTTTTGCAAGGCCTGAATCCCAAAATTTGAGTCTTCAATTTTTTGCTCGAAAAAAAAATGGGCAAGGCAATTTTTTTTTTGTCTCAGCACTTCTTCAAGATTTTGCTCAGAAACAAGACAAACCGTTGACTTTTGTTTTTGTCTTCCAAAAAAAAAAGAGTTATTCAAGTCTTTGGGTCAAAGTTGATGAAGAACTCAACCTCTTTTTCACAAGATCAAAAACAAAAAGTTTTATTGACAGGACAAACAAGAATGATCCATTTCTGGAATAAAAATAATCACAAACGACAAGAAAAATAAGAAAAATAAGAGAAAATAATATTGAAGGACAAACCGGAATCATTGAGGACAAAAACATAAAGTTTGATAAAAACGGCCGGTTAACACTAAGAATTTGTAATTGTGTTTGTTGACAATTCAAATCAATTGTAGAGATTTTTGAGAAAAATAAATATACCGGACATGACATGAGAATTGAATCAATTATAGCTGCACCCTCTAAAAAGAGCTTGACACAAATCAGCTGTAAACACTTCCATACAGGCCATAAAGATCATTGCTGTCTCTTCTGCAAGGCTTGTTGCCCTTTGAAGAACTTGCGAGCGTCGCAATCTAGATTTCAGGACCGAAAAACCCTTCTCGATGGGATTGAAATCAGGGCTGTACGGTGGTAGATAGAGAAGCCGGACTCCGCATGCCTCACAGAGCTCAGCAACTCTCCCCCCGTGATGGATTGGGGCGTTGTCCATGACCAGGACACTGTTCCGTGCTGGCCACGGGTTCATCGCTGGTAACTAAAGGGTGAAGGGCAAGTCAGTTCCTTGATTTTCGAAAGTATGAAACTATAGCAAGAGAATAATGAATAAATACACTAGAGACTACGGTTCTTTCCCACCTCTGGAACTTGATCCTGTTATCTCTAGTGTACTTATCCATGATTCTATTGCCATAGTTGAGATATTTAAGACGAAGTAAAACACTTACCACTTCATTTTCCAAAAAGTCCTCAAAATCAATTCTTGCATACCCCCCTGGTTGGATCTTAATAGCTAAAATGCCGTCCATCGAGATAGCCGGTAAGACTGACCATCGGAAAGATTGAGTTGGTTGCTGGACCCGGCTGGTACGTTCCCCAACTGGTGCTCGTCCGTATTCACGATAAAGGTGTCTTTTGGCGATGGCGGATTCATCTTCAAAAAAAGTAAAACAAGTATAATGTCAGATAGGTTACAAGAGAGATAGAAAAGTACACATACCAGTAAAAACAAAGCATCTAGGATCGATGCCATAAACAGCCTCAATGTAGGCTCCTCGTGCGGCGAATGATTGATTAGGGTGAACAGTTCTTGCTTTCTTGCGAGTCCATTGAAGGCGGCGACGAAGCTCAACAGAAAGAGTTTGCAAGGACATTCGAATTCCGTGAGTTTCTTGAATTTTGCTTTGAAGTTTGTCAAGATAAAGGGTTGGATCAAGTCGGAGGGAATCGAGAACAAAATCTCGTTCAGGCTGTGCTAAAGTGGTGGGAGGTCCGCGGGCCATATGCTCCAGCGGGTTGGTGATTACCGCCCGAGTTGTTCGGTAAAGGTCATACCACCGACGCACAGATGTAAGCGAAACATCGACACCAAGGGTCCTAACAATTTCCGGAAACGAGACACCTCGCAAGACCAGGCGAACAACGATTAGTTTGATGTCGGGTGTGTAGATATTCTTAGGCATCTTTCTATCAGGATAAAAAATATGAGTCAGTCCAAACGGAAGAAGAGGTCAAACAGGAATGAGGAAGAAAAGAACTGACTTTGTATATAAAGGGAAATTTTGACGAAATGAAGGAAAACAAGGAATATTGATCAAATGATCAAATCGGGTATGAACGAAGGGAGAAAGTGAAAAGGGGGGACAAAAAATAGACTGACCGAACCGGGGATATCCTTTGATCGGTGTGACTGATGTTTGGTGATCAGATGCCTGCGATAGTATGGCATCGAAGAAGGAGATGTGTTGTGAATTTGTGATTGGTCGAGTCGAATAGGTGGGGACAATTCAAAATGTTGACACCTTCCCACCCGGTCTGTCACTCAGACAAAACTGCCTGGTCCAGTTTTGTCTGACTTTTGGACATACAGGTTAAATGTGCCTGTAACACACATCACATGAAAAAATACCGATAAATCCATTAAGCGCTGTAATAGCTAGAAATGACGAGATCATGTGAAGATAAAGTTGACAAGCACACAAACAGACGTTCACAGGAAAGTACGGACGATTCAGGTGTGAGTGTAAGTTAAACAAGTGGGATGTGTTCAGGACCCAGGAATGCCCCTATAAAGGGTAGTGATCTGGATAAGTGCTTTTACAGTACCCGCGGCGTTACCATTCATGGGATACGAGCAGCTCTGATCATTTCTGCCCAATTATAATTTTGATTATTGCCATCCTCTTAAACCTGTGACATCTTGGGTTGAGTGTCAGTGCGTGAGGCCAGTGACAAGCTTGATCAAGCTAGCTTGAAGACAGACCAGGATTGTCGGAAATGCAAAGAAATATTTATATCGTTTATCAAATATTCTTATTGCTTCGATTCTTATTGCTTCCATCAAACCTTGCTGATGCCTTCAAGCGCCGCCGCCAAAGGGAATTTCTTCACCCTTTTTAGATATGTTGTTGCAATCTAAATCACTTGTGTAGTTTCAAATGTCAGACCGGAGGGTTCGTTCAGATTTGGAGTTGTCAAAGGAGGTGAAAGGCTCCAAAAAAGTCTGTGTAAAGATTAAACTGTTCTTACAGCTATGGGTGAAGCCAGGTTTAGACCTGGAAAGACTTAGTGTTTTTGCAGGACCGGAGTTCCGAGGGTACTGTAAAAGCACTTATCCAGATCACTACCCTTTATAGGGGCATTCCTGGGTCCTATGTGTTCGGTATGTACTGTCGTTCTTGAAAAGCTTGTCCGAGTTTTCCCGCAAAACTCGAGCAATTTGGCGGGAAAACTTTAAACTTAACAAAGTCCCGCGCTCGCACATCCGAGAAAACTTGGTCAAGCTTTTCGAGAACGACAGTACTTCTTCTACAGGATGGGCCTCGTGGTCGTGTGATGATGAGCATGATGTGCTTCCCTAACGCTCCGCAGCATGTGTACGAGGTGACTGATCTTTCTACAATTCTCGGCTCTACTCTTGCCAGCTACCTCACTTCCAGTTTACCAACAAGAGTATTCCCGAACACGCACCACACTATTCTCATCCACTCTACGACACTGTGTGTTCCCAATATCTAGATTGCTCACACTCACGACCAACCTGCGACTCTACAACTCAGAACAAGAGGCTCTCATGGGCCAGGATTTTTGAAGTCCCTCCTGCCCTCTCCAGCTTCGCTTTCTTACTTCTCGGTTCATGTTTTATTACGCTCACCGGTGTCTACTGTTCGCTGCACCGTCCCTTCATGGTGTTACTTGTTTTTGTTTGTTTGTAAAAAAAAAAGATCTATAAAATAATGTTTGTTCTAAAGAGAGGGGTGTGTTTCTCGTAAAGATCTCTCTTTTATCGTTTTCTTTGTTCCATTTTGAGTCAGTTACTGGTGCTGTTTCTCTGTGGCCCAAAAAAAGATCGTTTTCTCTGTTGTACTACTTACCATTCTCGAGGGCAGTTGTCTTGTTGTGTCTTTTCTGTTTCCTCTTCCTCCCCCGTGAGGGGGCGTTTTTCTCTTCTTGACTCTTGTGAAATGGTTACACTTGCGCGGGCCCAAAGGTCCGCGTGGCTTTGCCTAGCTACCACTGAGACAAGTCCCATGAGGCTGGGCCCCTGCGAGAAGTCGTAACACATCCCAGGAGTCTTGTCAGATGTTTCTTGCCACCAGATTTAGATTTTCACAAGCCAAGAAAGAAAGTTGATTTCAATGGCGAGCACCTAGACTGTGAGTCACATTGTTGACGTGTGAGTTCAAAGCACAATATCGCCCTCGAGTTCTCAAGGATTTTGCCTCCTCGCGTTCAGTGAGAAAACAACGACTATTCTATGAATGGTAGCTTTCCGCTGGAGGCACGACTAAGGTGGGCGTTGTCCACAATTACAAGTAATGCAAACGGCAGTACTTCGTATCACAACTCCATTACCATCCTATGACATAGTAGAATAAGAAATCGGTTTCAGAAGGTTCCTCCCCTAGACAGACTTCTCAGGGTCTAAGTTACAGACCTGACCAGGCAGGGTCAATAACTGGATTAGGACCAACTAAGAATTTCCGTCAGGTAATTTTATTCCTGATATGGAGTTGATATACGATGACACAAATGAGATGAGAGGTACTTTGTCCCCTCATCTGTTTTTCCATCTTTGTATCTTTTTGTCATTCACAGTTTTGAAAAATTCTAGATAAAATCTTTTTTACTACCATAGCGCAACAATCTACCAAAAACAACACTGACCAAATTGTCAAAGAAAAACATTTCTGATTTTATAAAGAAGTTATTTTTCAAAAAACCTCCCTCCCACCCTTACACAGAATTACAAATGTGAGTTCGAATTCTAAGAAATTTATTAGAATCCAACAACGTGGAGTTCTAAAAATGGGGTGACTAAAACCTCAACCGGATAATAGATTCTATACCTGTATCCTATAGTTTTGGAATCTCACTAGTGTGTTCTTCAAACTTAGCGTCTCCCTTAAGCTGTCAATGCAGATTTATAAGCATTATAGACATCTTAAGTGGCTTCACGCACCCATTTCCTTCTCAAAGCTCAGAGCTTGACGGAATGGGGGTTCTGCAAACCCAAACAGTGGTAGTTTTGGACATTATGTCAGGACTACCTAGAGAAGAAAAGAAAATACTAAACAATAGTATTTTACTATCTTCTTGTTATGATCTCTTACACTGGTTAACAGGACTGTCACAACCTGTGAAAGGGGATACACCCGAGTCCCACTTGTAGAGCAGAGCTTTCCTCTTTGCCTTCTTCTCTATGCTACAATAACTATACTACGTGGTCCCCAACATCCCTCTCTGTCTGTCCCCAAGCACGACCCCCCCCAAGCCTGGGCATAACACTTCTCGAACGTGTAACACATTAGTGTGAATTACGGAAGATATAAAGTGGACTCAGCAGGAAACAATGTGCGTACTATTTGGTCAAAATCATTGATTTTTTTTAAAGGATAGACAATCCACTTTGAGATTGGGAAGACTCACATCAAAATATCATCTAATACCTGATAGGATCCCTCAGAGTTCAACGCTTTCAGTTACACTTTATTGACCTTTTCAATTCTGACACAGAGAACAAGAAATGATTTGAATTGGTTTTCTAGATGATCTGACTCACTTACTTAGTAGCACCAGATAGATGGGAGGAGAAGAAGCATAAGATTGAAGAAGAAGGAAGAAGATCATCAGGATGGGGAAATAAGTTTAGAGCAATTTTTGTCTTACGGAAAGCAAAAGTCATGCATTTCAACAACAAAGAATCAACAACAGAAGATCAGATTAACATGTCTCTCATTGTTATCATAGAGTGCAATGACATAGAGACTTGAGTGCAAACATCAGGTATCCAAAATTTTGTAAATTAGATATACAGATACTGGAATTTGGCTTCAAAACATCACCAAAAATTAAGAACAAGATTTGGATAATGTCTTTCAAATCTTCAAGATGTGAATATACACAGAAAGAAAACTTTGAAAAGAATCCCAAAAGTTCAAGCCTTGATATGATTTGAGATAAAACCATATCACTCAACACGACATACAAATTATGAGCTTGAGCATACCACACCCCACAGGCTGATTGAAAGAAGAACACATTCACTCTTGAACAATTGTAAAAACTGACTAATGCTTTTTTGAAATCGACTCACTTATGGGCTTGAGATCTTTTGGGTTCATCTTACCATGGAAAATAAATAATGATCACTTACTGTAAGTTCCCAAAATCATAAACTGGACAATTAATCTTGCTCGCTGGGTCCAGGATTGTTTCTTTACCAATAAAAACTATTCATCCTCACAAATGTTTTACCTTAATTTACAAATCAAAGAAAAATAGTCTTCTTTCACTATTACATAAGTTTTTGATCATACAAAAAAAAGGTTTCTTTTCTTCCAAATATTTACCATCAGGGTTGTAACATGTATCACGAGTACGCACTACTAAAATCCTTCACACTAAACCCACCAAATCCTCTACTCAGAGTCACATCAAGTAAAATCTTTGACTACCTCACACCTATTCACTCAACCACACCCATTAACCCCACTTCCTCCCATATAAACTTGTGTTACCCAAAGGATTAAGTATCATTAAACTCTAAGCAGTCTTTGCAAGAAAAATCTTAACCAAAAAACACCATCAAATTAAGTAATCAATTGTTCTAATTTACTGAAAAAATCAAAAAAAGATACAAATCAAACCAAAAAACTAACATAAGAAAAAAATCAATCAAAACAAGAGAGAGAAAATGGTTTTATTTTTTTTCCGAACTTTATTTTTTTAATCTTATCTAAACAATCCAATAAATTAAAAAAGATACTACTACTACTATCCAACTTCAACCTGTTTATTTATTTTTCTTTCTTATATATTCAAATAAAAAACAATGTACAAATAAAAAACTACAAAGGAATATGATGATGATGATTTCATTCCATTTCGTTCAACTTTCATTCCATTCATTGATTCAAAAAAAAAATCAAACCCTATCTAAATATAATTCAAGATCATGTCCATCTAATCAAAAACCCTTCATTCAATTCGTTTCAAACCCTTTTATTGATTACTCTGAACTCTCAAACTCGGTAAATTTCCCGTATTAGTCCAATCACTATGTGAATTAGTTCCAATCCTACCTGCATTACCTAAAACAGTTGGTCCAGTAAATGAAGATCCATTCAATCCAACCGATCTTTTATTCGATGATCCATATCCTTTTCGTCCAAGATTAGTTGATGAAACAAATGAAACAGGCTAATCCAAAACCAAAATCTCAATGAAGTTTCTTTTTTTTGATTGATTGAATGAATGACACATCAATGAACTCACTTGAATCGGTAATTTGTAAATTATATTCAATGAATCTAATATCTTCTTCATCTCCTAGAAAAATCAACCAAAGAAATACATCAATTTTCAAAAAGACCTTATTCCATGCTACAGAAAAAAAGAGATAAGTAAGAAAAATGTATAAATCACTTACTCTCATCAAAAGTGTACGTCTATCCCAACGAGCTCCCCAATCTTGCCAATTCCCTTTATGTTCCATAGCAATAATCAATCTGAAAACCAACCCCCCCGAAAAAAACAAAACAAAGTCAATAAACCTAAAAAAGTTTTGAAATTTAAAAAAAAATCACTAAACTGAATCAAATTTTGATTTTGCATATAATCAATATTCACATCCAATCTAATTCAAAAAAAAAATTAATCCCAATCCAATTCATTAGTAAACAAAAAGACTTCAAAACCCCAAGCACATCACATCTCTTCACTTACCCTCCTTTCCATTCTCTTGGATTATCATTCACATATTGTCTCATTCGAGTTCTAAACTCATGTAAAACATCTAAAGGAGTTTCAAATCCAACCATGATATTGGTCTACAAATCAAATTCCAAAAAAACAAATCAATTTTACTCTTGTTGATAAGAATATATATTTCTTTCTAGCTTACCGTTTCCCACATCGATCCACTTCTTCTAACATTTAAAATATATTTCTGACTACCTAAAACCGAATTAGGTGCCACAATCACTTGTCCATCCACTCTTTGAAAAGTCGTAGAAAACAATCCGAATTCTAAAACAAACATTGGAGATTCATCTACCAAAGGAAAAAGAGTGATCAATCTTTAAAATTCAAAAATAGGTTTCAAGAGATAATTTGTATGGTATCAACAAAACTTACCTATAAAGACTAAATCTCCTACGTCGTATGGATGTACACTAAAGATAAACAGCATGCTCTGCAAAAAAAACCGAATCATTCATTAATTTTCTGTCATACATCCAAAATCAAAATCAAAAATCTCAAACAAACCTCAAACAAGTTCTTTGCAGCATTTCCAAAAACTAAAAACAAAAGTTTATCCATCAATAAAAATCGTCCAAAATTGATTATACAGGAATTTACTAACTAAATGAAAACCCAAGGATGATCGTAGCCATTGGAACGAATTGAGAAGTCGTTCCACTTGGATTAAAGATCAATAACCAAATAAAGATCACAATAATAAACGCAATCGAAAGTAAAACCCTAAAATTCCGAACCAAAGATTAATATCATGATCCAATAGATCCAAGAATCTGAAAATACTAACGCATCAAGTTTAGCAACAGCTGATGACATGTCCTAAACCAATCAATACCGATTGACGGATCAATACTTAAACTCTAATCTCAAACGAAAAAAAGATCCCAGAAAACCGTACCTTTAAACTAGTAGCCAAAGCTTTTCTTTCACGATAAATTCTAGCCACTGCATTTCTCATTTCCTTACGATCGATATCCCCATTTCCATCTTTATCAAACAAATTAAAAGCCATAAACGCATCACTTGGGTTCTTAAAGTACGGTTCAAACTCATTTCTCGTAATCACTCCTCCATGATCTTCATCTAATCCTTCAAACAATTTCTTGGCTAACTTTTTGGCTGAATGAGTTGATGAACCTATTCCATCATGTTTGATTTTCCTTTCATCTTTCAAGGTGACTTGGGCTATCGCATTTGTAAATTGATCGGCTACGTTTTGTAAATTTGCTGATCTTCTTTTACGATTCTTTTTGGCTTTTTTTAATTCTTTTTCTAAGATCTCTGCATCTTGATCTACCAAAGAAAAAAACGAAAAGAAATTCATCAAAATTCGCAGTCTTTCAATCAGATCAACCAAAAAAAGTGATGAAGAAAACTTACTCATTCGAGTTTGTGAAGGTGTACCAGGTGTGGTCATAGGAGTTAATGGTACATCTCCACCAATCGGTATATTTAAATCACCAGATCGATCTACATTGTAACTATTTCTAGCCGTTGAGATTCCTATTTTAGCAGGTGTATTTCGTCCTGTACCTTCATTAGATTTTCTAGAAACTCCAAATCCACTTAAAAACCCTGAACGTCTCTTTTGTACATGTTCTTTAGCAGCTGCTAATTTATCTAAAGCCCACTAGAAAAAGAAAAAAAGTGGTCAAAACAAATGGTAATGGATTGAAACAAAAAAAGAAAAGTCAGAATCAAAGAAATCAAATAAAGACAAGGAAAGATTAGGAGGAAATGAAAAAATAATTTAAAACTGACTAAAGCTTTTTCATTTTCTTCTAATCTATCCTTAAGACTAGTACGATGAAAGTTCAATTTAACGATTTGAAGTAAGATCTAAAAAAGAAAAAAAGAAGTCAAATTTAGTTAGGACATCATGATTTGATCAACAGGAGAAGATATACATACTTTTTCAGCTAAAAGCATTAATCCAGTAGCAAATAAACCACCAGTGACCTGAAATCAAAAAACACTTTAGTATGGAATTTAAAAGAAAATCGTATTTAGAGGACATACTTTTTGGATCCAAGAAAAGTAATGTAATCTAGAATCACCTTGAAAAGGAAAAATAGAAGAAAACATGACCAATAAGATCACCCAATACCTAAACCGAAAAAAAAAACAAGAAAAAAAAAGTAAGAAGTCAATCAAAGAATTCATCTGATGATTTCCAAGAAGTTGAAGATTCTCATTCACCAAGTAAAACTAAGAGCTAATTTAATCCAAAACCTAACACTCATCCAAAGTTCAACTTGAGTTTTTAATTTCTCAGGTGTGGAACCGTAAAGGAAATCAATGATTTTCAGTAAGATGATGGGTAAGAAATCCGTCATGATCGAACTTAAACAAGTAGCTGCAACACATAATGATAACCATATACTCCATACCATCACAGGTCTGATGACAGGTGAATTTGGAAATCGGAAATGTAAAATCAAAGTTGGACTAATACCCCAAAGAAACCAAAATTCCAAACAATCAGTTAAAAAACCCTTTCTTCTGGGGGAGAAGAAGTAACTTACCTAATAGTTAAACCACTACCGAATAATAAAAGTAAACTAGTTCTAATCGGTCTCGAAAGTTTCATAAACGTTAAATAAACCTTTCTTAATCTTGTAGCACGTTTCACTTGATGTTCATGAAGATGAGTTAATCGTTTATTCTTTTCAATCTTTCTGTTCTCTTTTTCTTCTTCATCTAATTCATCTTCATCCGATAAATCCCAATCAAATTCATCATGATCATCCGAATCCGTTGAATTATCATAAGACTCATCTCTTTTCTCGGTTTTTTTCAACGGTTTTGAATCGGTTTTAGTAGTTAGGTTCGGTGAAGTGGGTTTGATTTCTATACTTGTGCTTTGTTCTTGAAGTGCTCTTTCATATCTAGCATTAAATTCTGAATCAGAATGAAGGTTAACTTGTGATGATTCTTTCATGCTTGGAATCTTGGATGAACTCTTAGATGGTGTTAAGGGTGGTCGAAGTGATGCTACGTATTGTTGAGCTGGATTATCGTCGATATGAATATGAGTGGGACGAGTGGTAGTTGGAGTCAATTCACCAGGAGTCTCTGTACCAACTCCACCACTCCCACCTGGGGTTTGGTTCATGATTTGATGATGAAGAAGGGTCGATGGCGTTTTGAATGTATTTGTTGATTATTAAGAAGGTTTCAGAAGCCTTTCACGTGGGGTTGAGTTTTGGTTTTGAAATCAATCGGTCGAAGCTGTTGAAAGCTTGCTCGGTGAACCTGAACCTGAACCTCAACGTGGACACACCAATTCAAGTTTGAAGAAACAGTTGATCTCGAGCCTTTACGCAGTTTGATGACTTAATCAGATCGATCGGTATATAGTTTAATTGATGATCAGAGCTATCCTTTGTAAATTAAAGTTTGAAATAAAAATGAATGAAAAATGGTCAACAACAAGAAAGATTCAATCAAAATGGTAAAACTGAAACACCAACTGCGCCATCGCGAAAAAAAAGGCCAGATACCCTATTGAGGCCCCGTCTGAGACCCTGTCCAGCTTGTTCGCAGTGACTCGAAACTGGGGTAGATCCGGATTTCGACTTTCCTGTGATAACTACACCACAAAGACACTTTTGCGCAGAAAGACGTCCGAGCCGTCCGAGACTCGATGCTCAACTCTGTGTCCCCGATCGGGGTGTCTTTTAGGCGTCCTCAAGCGCCGACATCTTTTGCATACTCTCAGGATATTGTGATGACTCTCTGATCTTGGACGGGAGATGAGCCCCCCTGCTCTCAGCCCGACCTGGACATCCCTATTGAGGCTGTCTTCCGAGTGAAGCCTGCATGTCCTCACAAGATCTGAGAATGTAGCGGGTTCTGTCAGGTGTGCATCAGGTAGTCCGTGAACTTGATGTCGCCAACTGACCCCCTTCTCTGAGCCTTGTGACAACACCCAAATCGCACCGCAACATATTTCAGTTTCGGTGCGATTTCGGTGCGATTTAGATGTTTAAACGAAACGAAATGTGATTGCGGTCCTCCCGCACCGAAATAAGATGAGCAAAATCGTGATTTCGGTTCAACCGAACCGAAACCAGATTTGATGAACCGCAACTCGCAACGAACCGAAATATGCTGCGGTTGGTTGCGAGTTTGTTAAAAGGTGAAGGCAAGGTGTTTCCCAGTCCACTACATGTGAAAAGAGAAGTGAGAGGAGGTTTTCACCTATCAGGAGTTCTCTTCCTTTTCGAACTGTTGTGCATTCTTTTCCTCATCTGAACTTTTATTGACATCGTCCAAAAGTTGTTTCCTCACGTCCAGTTCCTTTTGTCCGTCTTGAACAGGTTCAAGTGTTCTCTTAAACCCACTCTCACAACAAACTTAACTAAGTCCCATCGTGCCGGGGTTTATACATAGCAAGCGATGACCGAGGCACGAGGGACTTACTCCCTACCCCAGACTTCTCGCGTGGCAGGTTGAGAGTTTTAGTAGGGGAAAACTGGGATGTCTTTTTACCCCAGCTTCCCTCAATCTTCTGTTTAGAAAAAAGTGGAGATTATGAAGCGCCTGCTTCTTCCACATCTTTCTCTCTATTCACATTTTTGCTCTTGTTTTTTGTTCTTTTTTTTTCTCAACACTGAAAACAACGTGATCCAGAAATCTGGAGGAGAGACTGCGGCTTGATTCCAGTGTATGTATATATATTTATGTAATATACATACAACATGCTCCCCAACTTTTGGAATTTCAATTCTCCAAGTTTTCTAACGCGGCTCAGCAATTCATCACTCTTGTCTTCACCTCAGCCAACCACACATTTGATCAATGAATACCCGAAGTCAACTGAAAGAACTTATTTTGGACCCAATCCTAGCAGAAATTGACAATGACTTGAAGGTCACCCGACCTTTGCTCCCGTCTATCATACTTAACAGCTCAATGTCAGATCAACGAAAGTATGTCATAAGGAGTTTCTTGAAATGGTATGAGATGCAGAAACCCAAAGAATTGCAAGTCAGTACAATAGTCAGCCTCATCAATGGATTCAATACCTTCCTCTTGGCTGGCACAGGATACGGAAAATCTCGAATTGCCGAAATTTTTCTCAGGCTTTTTGATCCTCGTCAATTACCAGTAGTACTTGTTCTCAATCCTCTCGACGCGCTAGGTGACAATCAAGTAAGTAACATCCAATTGATAATAAATTTGGTAGTCATTCAGAAGCTGAATGGCTTTATCTGTAGGTTGCAGACAAGATTAAGCAAAATATCACGGCAATCAATCTGACCAAGATCACTTTCACCACCGATGCTCTGAAGAAGATTGAAAATCACTACTACCGTGTCATATATCTTGTATTTAATTTATTCAGATACTCCTGTTCCAATTCAAGTTATTTAAATGCGAAAGACCAGATGGACTGACTCTCAAAATGTTTGTTTGCTCACAGAGTCCTGAAATATTTCTGAATAGTGCAAAATTTGCAAAAGTTTACTATAGCTCGGACTTCCAGAAGCATCTTATCTTGAAGGTTGTTGATGAAGCACATGTGATCTACTCGTGGGGTTTGGTGGAAAGCGGAAAGGCCAAAAAATTATACAGTCATTCAATACTTCAAGATGTTTGTGAATTTCGACCATCATATGGTCATTTAGGAAAAGCTCTCATGGCCACCGACTCAGTTCCTCTTCTATTACTATCAGCAACCTGTAGACCCATAGCTGTGAAGAGCATTTTGAATAGCTTAAGCCTTATACCTCGAAATATCACTATGATTGAAGGTGAACTCACTCGACCCGAGATGCGATGGATCCGAATGTATCTAACTCGTCCTTTGGATTCGTGTGAAGATCTAGCTCAACTAATCCCACACAAGTCACAAGTCTCGGACAAGGACCTGACACAAACTTTGATTTATTGTGGAACTCAAAACTCGACATGGACAGCATCAGAAGCAGTTCACTTGGCTCGAGGAAACCCACAACAGGCCCACGATGGGAACAGCAGCTGCTGCCGAAGGTATCATGCATCAACCGGCCCAAAGGACAAAATCACTAGAGCTCAGGATTATGGTGACGGTAAATTTTCGACAATGACTTGCACAAATGCACTCGGCCTTGGTCAAGACTGGTCCATCGTGGATCAAGTGATAATTCTGGGTGGTATGGACCCGGATGCCATTATCCAAATGGGTGGAAGGGGTGGGCGAGGGGGTAAAACATGCTTGGTCATCATGATGGTTGAACCTTTTCGCCAGACTGGCAAAAACTCAATAGACGATTTTAAAGAAGTTTCAGTCATGAATGATGACGATAGGACAAGTGCTTTGAGAATCACACCGGTATGTCTTAGGGTTGCACTCGCATCAGACACTCGGTGAGCTTCTCCCTCTTTTCTTATTCTTTGTTTATTCATTTTACTAATATGTTGATTTCATGTAGATTAGGCATACTACCACTTTCAGTCGATGAGCCTGCATACATTGAAGAAAAGAACCGTCAAGATAAGGAAAAGATGGGTCCCTGTCGATGTTCAAACTGTGATCCGATCGGGGCAATTGAGCTTATTCGCGACCTCAAGATGACTGACAAACATCACTTCCATGACCTCCTCAAACGTTCTACTGTAGGACACGAATTACCGGCCACCAGTTTTCTCACTCAGAATCCCATTGTAAAATCAAAGCCAAAGGAAAAGACGAACCGACCACTACTCTGTGCTGATACTGACCACATTCGGATTTCATTACCGATGATCGATCTGGCCCGCTCTCTGATTGAAGACTTTTCTATTTTGTTTTACAAAAATCACAATCAAATTTCAGAATTGATCCCTTCGAATCTATTTAATTATGATCACGCGTGGCAGATTGTCAAGAACTACTCAGCCATACTGGAGGGAAAGTTTTTGCGAGGGATTTTGGGTAGCCAGCCAATTCGTGGGACATTTGACATGATACTCAATTGTATTCAGGTTTGGAAAGCAGGTGCTAGTTATGCATCATATGTTGAAGAAGTTCATAAGGCCGATCAAGCGGCCAAGGAGGCTTATCAGATGGGTGCGGCTATCCTGGCGTCTTACCACAGCAATCAGTTGATTAAAGCCGAAAAGCGAAAAGCGGATAAGGAGAAGATTGAAAAGCGAAAAAAGATGCGACTTGAGACAGCGGCCCAAGCACAGCAGTTGAAGGATAACAACAAGCGGAGGATAATGGATAAACTCCAACAGTCCTCGGTCAAATCTCAAGATGGACAAAAACCAAGTAAGTAATCTTGATTCAATTCCCTCTCAATCCAAACCTCCACCTCCACGTTGATGTGCTTAACTTAACATGAATCGATTTCCACTTTTTCAAATCCAGATCCAAAGTCATGATGGATGTCCCAAGACTGTTTGGTTCACTCTTATACATATGTATGTTCGCATCCAAACACCATGAAGTTTACCAATGATCATCGCTCGCACTGGCACTAAAAAACATTGTACTTTTTGATCAAAACCAATACTATCACCACCTCCTTCACTATGGCTCGAATCTCTAGTCAAACTCTCTCAGCTTCGACCTCATCTTCTTCAAGATCATTTCAACTTCCTATCATCGATTTTTCAGCACTTGGCAACGTCGCTTTACTCGGTTCTTTCTCGGGTTGATCAGCCTAAAGTCTTCAACTTCTCAAGATCATCTCAACTTCCTATCATCGATCGGTCAGCACTTAGCACGTCACTTTACACAGTGCTTTCTCAGGTTGATCAGTCTTCGAGTCTTCAAATTCAAATTCAAATTCAAATTCAAATTCAAATTCAAATTCAAATTCAAATTCAAATTCAAATTCGAATTCAACTTTCAATCTTGCTCATTCTGCTATCATCTCCTTACATATTTCATCTCAGTCTGAATAGCAATCAAATCAGAAAATCTGTAATCTTCAATTATAATGTGTTCAAGTCTAAACGATCACTTTTAAATTCAGCTAATCTTCAATTATAAGGTGTTCAAGTTTAAACAATCCCTTTTAAATTCAGCTCCCAAGATATTTGCCGCTCCCCAACCGAACCGAGAGGAAGACTGATTCCATTCTTCCTCTCGAAATATCGACTGAAATTTCTCAATGCCCTTCAAATGGATGTCTTCTAGATTCATTATCAAGCTTGTATCTCGTGCTGTCTTGATCATGCTTGGATCAGCAAGATGATCGCGTGCAAACTTCATAAATTGGCTGATGGAAGCCGGCGAAAGCGGGTGTTTGTGGCTTTGATGGATTG